CTTCATTAAAAACTCTTGACATTTAAATAACAATTTGATAAGAGGTGGAGAATCTTATGAGGACAGACAGTTTTGAAGCTGGACATTTTAAAACACTTGAAAAATCATGAATCAGATATCCAGTATTGGTTCTCTGACAATCTCCAGTTTGCATGTTTATTATTCCAGTCTTCTGTGAATGATGACATCATCAGATTCTGTTCTGATGATGAAATAACTAGATAGTTGCAATCGTAATTCCTATGCCAGTAGCTTCTCAATGTCATTACCATGGGACTAGATGTTGCCCATTTAAAAAAAAAAAAGATTAAGCTTCTTTTGTTTAGGGAGATTTTAAAAAGCCTTTATAATACATTTTTATTTGAAAAATAATCACCTTATTTAATTCTATTTATTATTATCTTTTCATTTGACTGGACAGAGACAGAGAGAGAGAGAGGAAAAGTGAGAAAGCAAGCTGCCAGGTCTGGACTTGAACCACAGTTGGCCTTGTGGGAGTCCAACACCTTAACTACCATGCCACCTGCTAACCCCTATAATACATTTTCTTTTTTTGAGAGATTTTTTCTGTAGGCCACGTGCACTCACCAGAGAGATAGAGAGACAGAAAGCAAGAAATCACCCCCCGGGGGGATGGCCACATTGCAATCCCGTCTCCATTCTCCTCTTGGGATTTTGAGCACGCACACACACGCAGTCAGCATGAGTTTTAAACCGCTGGGTCTGGAACTCGAATCATGGTTAACTACATGGGAGTCCAGCAATGTAACCAGTGAGCCATCTGCTGATTCCAGCCCCTATAATACATTTTTAATTGAGGCAAAATTTACATGAAGTAAAACATGTGATGTAAGTGTACATTTTATTGGGTTTGGTATACATGTAGACAAGTTTAACAATCACCTTGATTAAGATAGGGAACATCTTGGCTTGGCTTCATGGCCTGGTGGATAAGGCAATCAGATCTCACCTGGCCAACTGCATGGCTCAAGTCTCGGACCTGGAGGCCAAGTAACACCCCAGGCATGTGTGTGTCATGCCCAGAATCCCAAAAGGAGGGCCAAATGGAGGAGAGAGATTGCAGCACGACCATTCCCCACAGGGGGTACTTTCTCCTCTCTCTCTGTATCTCTTTGGCAAACACACATGCCCTCTAACAAAAACAAAGGAAAAACATCTCTATGGCCTCAGTAGCTTTCCTTGTTCCCATTTAAGTCACTCTTTTTTCTACCCAGGAAGTTAGTATATCCAGATGTCAGGTTATAAACAAGAACTCTAAAACAGCTCTTAGAGAAATATTCAAGGATTTAATAGAAAGCTTTGTCAAAATGAATGAACAGATAAGAATTCTCAGCAAAGAGATGAAATTTATAAAAACAGTGAGCAGGTGTCAGCAGGTGGTATGGTGATTAAGGCACTGGACTCCCACCAGGCCGTCAGCAGTTCAAGTCCTAGACTTAAAACTCACGCTGGGCAGGTGCGCACATGCCAAAAATCCCAGTAGGAAAGTGGAGGAGAAGGGATTGTGGCACAGCTATTCCCCCAGGGAGTGATTTCTCACTTTCTCTCTCTCTGTCTCTGTCTCTCTAGCAAACACATGTGCCCTATGGCAAAAAACCTAAAAGACAAAAACCAACAACCAGCATTCTAGAACTTTGAAAGTATCATATTTGAAAGAAAACTACTTCTGGGTGGATTCACCAACAGATTGAATGCTATAGAAGAGAAAATCAGTGAGATGCAAGAGAAATCAATGTTAATCATCCTATATGAAAGAGAAAAATGACTAATAAAATAAAACTAATCTATGAGACAATAATGAGCAGTCTAAAATGAATGTAACTGGATCCCCAAAAAAATGGAAGAGAGAAAATGGAACATAAATAATGTTTAAAGAAATTATAGTCAGGGCCAACCAGCCCCATAGCAATTAAGTGCTGTGCATATGGGACTAGTTCCCACACGGCTGACCATGGTCTCATTCCCAGCCCCACTGGCCTGAAAGACACACCAGGGACATGTGTGTGGGTGTCCCGAATCCTGAGGCATTGGAGAAATGGAGGAAAAAGAATCGCAGCCTGACATTTCATACGTGTCTATAATCCCAGTTCTTGGGAGGCTGAGGAAGAAAGATCTTAAGTTTGAGGCCAGCTAGGGCAACATAGTGAGACTGTATCAAAAACAAGCAAGGACTGGCAGTTGGTGTAATAGCTATGTTGCTGGACTCCCATGTAGTCGACTACAGTTCGAGTCCCGGACCTGGTGGCTTAAATTCACGCTGGGCGTGTGTGCGTGCATACCCAAGATCCCAAGAGAACAGAGGAGAAGGGATTGGATTGCAGTGAGGCCATCCCCCCTGGGGGATGATTTCTTGCTTTCTGTTTCTTGTGTCTTTCTGGCAAGCACATGCACCATATAGCAAAAGCCTCTCAAAAAACAAACAAACCCCCCCCACACACACACAAACAAACAAGCAAACAAAAACAAAAGACAAAAAAGGGAAGAAAGGGAAAAACTTACAGCAGAGCCCCACTGGATTCCAGGGCCAGGGAATGGCTCTGAGCAGGTAACCCTCATTTCTTTTTTTTTTTTTTTTTTTTTTGGAGAGGTTTTTGCTACAGGGCGAGTGCGCTCGCCAGACAGAGAGACAGAAAGTGAGAAATCACCCCCCAGGGAGGATGGCCACGCCACAATCCCTTCTCCATTCTCCTCTCGGGATCATGGGCACGCACGCACACGTGCCCGGCGTGAGTTTAAGCCACAGGGTCCGGGACTCAAACCACGGTTGACTGCATGGGAGTCCAGCGACATAGCCATTACGCTAGCTGCTGGTCCCCCTTAAACAGGAGTTACTACGATCCCGCCTCTTGTCTCTCAGTATTGACGGTAGTATGTTTGGATGTGAGCTACATTTCCTGTTTATTTCGCAGGGTGCAGACAGTCTGATGAGAGGTCATGGGACCGAAGAAGAAATGGTTACTAACTGGAGATGCAGGCTGCATGAAGCCCCGCCCTCAGGTACTACCTGTGGAGTCAGAGGTCTGCTAATAGAAGGAATTGTGCTGTAGCAGTGAACGGCATCTTCAGATCATGGTAGGAGGGAATAATTTACATGTATGGGGAGAGGGACCAGCAGATGACTTAATGTTTGCATTGCTGGACTCCCATGTAGCTGAGCATGGTTCGAGTCCCAGACCTGACATCTTGAAGCTCACGCAGAGCGAATGTACATGCATGCCCAAAATCCTGAGAGGAGAATGGAGGAGAAAGGATCATGGCATAACCATCCCCTCAGGGTGATTTCTCACTTCCTGTCTCTCTGCCTCTCTCTGTCTCTCCAGTGAGCACATGTGCCCTATAGCAAAAGTCTCTCTTAAAAGAAACAAAAAGTATGGGGAGAAGCAATTGACAGCCAGATAGCAGTAGTGGAAAGTGGTAGACACTTGGAGTGTAGATGCCAACCCACCACAATATATCCTTCTCTGAGAACTGCCCCCTAATGTAATAATACAATCACCCTCTGGTTAAACCTGCTGTGTGGAGTGTTTTCTTTCCCACGAGTTTAGTTTTAAAGGAGAAACCCTCGGGATCAGCAGTTGGCATAATGGCTATGTTGCTAGACTCCCATGTAGTCGACCGCTCGCGTCCCGGAACCAGTGTCTTAAACTCATGCTGCATGCTGGGTGCGTGTGAGTGTGTGCCCAGGATCCCGAGAGGAGAATGGAGGAGAAGGGATTGTGGCGTGGCCATCCCCCTGGGTGATGATTTCTCACTTTCTGTCTCTCTCTGTGTTTCTGGCGAGCGCACGCAACCTATAGCAAAAAAAACCTCTCCAAAAAAAGAAAAAAAAAAAAAAAACCAGGATTTTATTTGGAAATCCTTGCTCTCTAAAGTCCCATATAGAGAATGGCTTTTGTATTTGCTGTGAACATGAGCTGGGAGCTAAGCTAGAGCCTCTTGCCAGCTGTCAGGAGACTATTTCCTGGGTGTAAACGGACAGTATTATGCACCCCAATGTTAATAAAGTCCAAGAGAACTTTTTTATCCTTTATTCATGATAGAGCACGTGCATGTGCACAAGAAACATACACAAACACGTGTTCTCACACACGTACACACACAAGTGCCCTCCACAGGGTCTGGTAGTGTTGTAATCCTCCATGGCAGACCCCCAGCCTGTTGTATCCTGGGCACTCACATGCGTACCTTGAGTGTTTCTGGGCTGACCAGGCCGGGGACTTGAACTGTGGCAGCCTATGGGATCAGCCTCTCCTAAGCAGCACCTTCTTGATATGCCATGGAATACCCCCTCCATTTTTTTTTTTAATAGTGAAAGAGCCAGTCAGTGGAGGGTGGTTAAGGCAGCTGGATACCACAAGGCCAACTGCACAATTTAAGTCCCAGACTTGGAAGCTTGGAAGACACAGTGGGCATGTGTATGTATGTGCTCAAAATGCTGAAAGGAGTGAGAAATGGAGAAGGGCTTACAATGTGACCATGTCTCATGGGAGGGGTAGTGCTTTCCTTCTCTCTCTCTGGGGTAGGCACACATTCTTTGACAAATTAAAAAAAAAAGTATGCAAAGTATACATTTTAATCTCTTCTTATTTTTTCAAAGTTTATATATTTATTTCTTCCATGAGCAAGAGAGAAAGAGGGAGACAGTACCCCCCAAGGGGTTCTGCTATTGCACATGCATGTCCACTGTACTCAAGGAGGTCCCTGGACGTGAACCTGGAACCTTCTCATGTGGCACTGCCTCGCAGAGCATTGCATTTGACAGCTGCACCAACATTCAGCCCCTGGTCCAAGAGAACTTTGCACTGGATTTCTCAGCCTCAGTACTAATGATATTTTGTATTAGACAGTTCTTTTTTTTTTGGTGGGTGGGGGGCTGTCCCATGCACTGTAGAATGTTTAGCAGCATCTCTGGCCTCTACCTGCTGATGCCAACAGCACCCCTCCACCAGTTGTGACAACCAAAAAATGCCCCAGATGTTTCTGTGCCATGATGTCCTGGGGGGTAGGGACGGACGTGGTTCCCAGGCTGAGAGCTGATGTTCCCAGCTCTGGGCTGATGGAGCAGATTTAGCCCACGCATCACTGACCTTGAAGCAGCACTAAACCCAATGTCTCTGGATTGGAGCTGAGCCTGAAGCTCAGGCTCTAGCTTCTGATTTCCCATGCTGTGTACTACAGGGGAAAAAGTTCCGGGTGCAGATGTGACAGTAACTGCTTTATAATAAGACACATACTCCACACAGCCAGTGGTGCGGCAGTAATGTTCTGCAAAGCCGGACTCACATGGGTTCATGTCCTGAGGCCTCTCTGTACATAGCAGGTCTGTGTCTGCTCAGGTTCTGGGCTGGCTAAGGCTGGGAGTGGATCATGGTGTGAAGACCCTGTTATAGATGGTTGCCTGTTTCTCTCTTTCTGTCTCTCTCATGGAAGAAAGAAACAAATACACTTTTCAGAAATTTTAAGTGTTTTAAAGAAAAGCATTTCGTGGAGGTGTGATGGGTCCGGATGTTGAGTCTTTGATTCGTTCATTTGCTTAGTAAATTTCTGTTACACAGTGCCTGTGAGATAGGGGATGTGGTAGATGCCGGAGCTGACGCAAAGGCAGACCATAGCCCTGCTTTGAAGGCATTCGCGTCTTAGAGGGGTCCAGTGGGAATGTTTTCAGTTATAAATAAGAGAAAACCCACATCCAGCTGCTCCAGCCAGAATGGGACTGCATTTGCTCACACCTCTGAAGAGCCCACAGGTGGTGCAAACCTAGATGAGGCTGAATTCAGTGGCTCGGGGTTGTCACCGAGGCCTGGGTTTCCTTTGGCATCCCTGCTCTTCCCTTCCTATAGTCAGTTTCATCCTAGAGCTGACCTCCCTAGTTAAAGCAGCTCTTGGAATTACATGATTTCTTCTCTAGTAAAAGACCTGAAAGTCACTGGGTTTGGATTAGCTTAGGTCACCTGCCCACCTCTGATCCAGTCATCCTCACAGGAGGTTGATGATACATGCTGATTGGCTTAGCGTGTGTGTGTGTGTGTACACACATGTGTATATGTCCAAAATCCCAAGGGGCGTGTGTGTGTGTGTGTGTGTACACACACGTGTATATGTCCAAAATCCCAAGGGGAGAACGCAGAAGGGGTTGTAGTGTGGCCGTTTCACCTGGAGGAATGAGTTCTTGTTTTCTGTCTCCTGGTCTCTTTTGCCCTATAGCAAAAATCTCTCTCAAAAATAAAAATCTCAATTTGCAGTGAGCCCCTCTAAGGCTAAGTCCACCTCCCAGACATCCTTCCTCCACACACCCCCTCAGCCTTGCACTTACCTGCACCTCACACCTACTCAGGCTACGTGTTCCTGCTTCCCTAGCTTTAAACCTATATCTGGCTGTTGGAAACATTTTGGTTTGTCAAACTTCCCATCTTTAAATGCCCTAACAAAGGAATTGAGAGTTTTGATGGTGATTTATTCCATGTCCGCAAATTTCACAAACAAGACAGCTTAAGCGTATGTGTGTAAGAGAGCGAAGGAGGAAGCCTGGAGTGCAGAGAGCACAGGATTTAAAGTCAAAAGGTCCTGGGTTTGAATCCTAGCTCTGCAACCTTCCAGACCTGAGACGCTGGCTAGTAGGTTCTACCTGACCTCTTTTTCTCTCCTTAAAATGACTGTATAGTGTGTTATACATCCACTCTGCCTTTTCGTGCTGTGAGTATGCTATCACGCCTATTTTTCATCAGCACAGGGCACATTTAATAAGTGGTACATTTTTAAATACTTGTAACCATAAGTATTGGCATAGCTTGGGTTCCCACGTGGTGGTGATTTTGGCTAGGACAGATCAAAGACCTGTCATTCCAGGAAGGACAGAGAAGACCTTCAGGCCTTGAGCAGACTTTCCCCCTTCTAGCTACATGGAGTTCCCAGATTGGAGGTGGAGAAGGGGAGCTGCATTTCCTCCAGTATGAAATGTGGCCCGTGGTCGGTACTGTGTCCACACAACTACCCTGTGACTTCTCCAATTTGAGCCTCAGCTTGGACACTATCCTCTGTGAACCTCACTTTCCTCGTTTATGGAATGGGAATTGGGGCTGGCTCTGTGGCATGGCCGTAATGCACTGCTCAAGGGAATTCAGATTCCACAAGGTGACTACAGTTGGAATTCCAACTCAGTCTGCCTAAAACACACCAGGCACGAGCTTCCATGTCCAAGGTCCCAAGGGCTGGAGCACTGGAGGAAGGGGTTCGTGACGTGACCAGACCTCACAGAGGGTGCTTCTGTCTGTCTCTCCTATGCATGCACATGTGCTTCATGGTAGTAGAGAAAAAGAAATGAGAACAATGTTCAATTATTCCTCTATTGTATATTCATTGTATCTCACTACATCAGCCTGGTCACCTTTTACCTTTTATCCTATAAATGTACCTGCCCAGTTGCTGGGAACAGCTTTTCCTTCTGGCCAGATACATTCCACAGAGGTCAGGACTAATAACCCCCAGGGATGCCTATGGCATTGTTTTCTTCCTCTGCCCTGGTACCCCACCCGGGGTTTCAGGACAAGTTATTTTCCTAACAGTTCTTCCACTGGCAGTTCAGTCACTTAGCACATTGCTTTGGAAAGCTCTGTGTATGCATTTGTTATTTAAAGGCTTAAAAATCTCAAGTCTGTTCTTTGTAGCTTTGTAATAGTGGATGTATTTCCAGAAGGGCATGAGGACTTTTTTTAAGAATTATTTTTAATTTTATTTTTTCACTTGTTTTATTTTAATTTTACCAGAGAGAGACACAGACACACACACAGAGAGGGAAAGTGAGAAAGCAAGCTGCCAGGCCTGGGACTCGAACTGTGGTCAACCATGTGGGAGTGTCCAGCACCTTAACCATCATGCCACCTGCTGGTCCCGGGCATGCGGATTTTTGAGTCTAAGAACAAGAAATTCTTGGGTGGTGTGGTGATTAGGGTGCTAACCTCCCACATGGTTGACTGTGGTTCGAGTCCTGGGCCTGGCAGCTTGCTTTCTCACTTTTCCTCCCCCTCTCTGTCTTCCTTAGTGAGCCCACAGACCCTATAGCAAATTTAAATAATAATAATAATTAATAAAATAATTTTTAAAAAAAATTTTTATAACAATTCTGAATAGTGTTGGGAGAAAATACATAATCCATGACCAGGCCAGAATATATTGAGAAAATAATTTATTCAATTGTAAACCAGAAATTTTATTTAAAAAAAAAACATTTCAGAATAAATGAGATCTTGAATTTGCTCACTGGAGATTTAAATTTAAATGAATCTTAAAAAAATCACATTCCCTCCTAAGTAAACATCAGCTCTTCTCTAAACTTTCAGGGTAGGTAATTTCTTTGGTTTAGGAATTAAAGCATTAAACTTCCTACACCAGACCAAATTCAAGACACCTCAAGTAACAGAGAAATGAGATTCTCAAGTGACTCTAGTTTGTTTTGTTTTGTTAGGTGTGAAATTTTTAGCAACAATTGAAAAGTAGGAGGCACAGTGAAACAGTAAAGAAAATATAGGTTTTATTTTTATCAAAAAAGCCCACTGCAGGCCAGCCAAGTGACATAGTGGTTAAGGCAGCTGGATCCCACATGGCCAACTGTGCTGTTCGAGTCCCAGGCCCTGCGGCTTGAAAAAAATACTCGGCGTGCCCAAAATCTCTAGAGGAGAGTGGAGGAAAGTCGATTCCAGTGTGGTCATCCTCCTGGGGGTGCTTTCTCACTCTCTCTCTCACCTTCTCCAGCTCTCTCCAGTCAGCACAAGCACCCTAGAGCAAAAAAAAAAAAAAAAAAAAAATAGCAAAAGCCCCTTCCATTGTACATCAAGCCAGCACAATTGTCTTCAAAGTAAATGGCCTGAAAATGGAAACAAAGACCTAAACTGGAATACAAGAAAAATATAAATATATGTGCATATATAAACGTTGCCTCCTACTTTCCTTTACAAAGGCTTGCTTAACTTTAAATAACATGTAGGATTTCACAGCTTCTCTTAGAGAAGGGAATTGAATGTTAAAGCTGCTCAGTCATGAGGACTGTCTCCCCTAGCTTTTGTAACAAAATCAGTTGACCATTTCGTTGACATCTGGTTGCTACACTTCCATAATCCAGATGGAGCAGGGAAAGCTAGGTTACTTGGCAGGACGGCTTTGGCTCCAGTCCTCTCCTGTATGGCAGCCTTCCAGGTTGGAGCACGAAGTGCTGAGGGACCCTGGCATTCAGAGCAGGTGGTAGGACTCACTGATGAAGATCTGTCCCTTGACAAAGCCCAGGTCCTGGAAACACAACTCCTTGTAAGCCTCTTCAGTTCACCGCAGGCCTTTCCCTTCTCTGCCACCATTGCCACCCCCTCTCCAGGGACCAGAAGACACAGCTGCAGCATCCAGTAGACTGAATATGACTTAGACAACACAAGAAACATCTTCCATTCAAGTCCCGGTTGCTGTTTGTTATGTGGTTGAGAATGCTGGCCATCACCCACACTGCCACCTTGCATTCAATGCTGAATCAATGAAGTATTAAAGGATAGACCCCATGCCTTGTGTCCCTCCAAGATGCCACTGCCCACAGTGATCAGCCCTTCTCTTTCCACTCTTTTTGCTATTTCATGGCAAACTCACGTTGAGGCTTTGTTTTCATTTCATGTTAAGCACCCACTGGCTCATTTGGATTCCCTGGAGTCCTAAAATATTCACCACCATAATATCCACTAGATAGCTCCACCAATCTCCTGCACAGAAGCTTAACAACATCCCAAAGAGAAAAGGACATGTACTATAAATGGCCAGAAGCAATCTGCTCTTGAAGTCTTCTGAGGATTGGCAAGGTAGATGGTATCCTTATAGGAGTTCTGTTGCAAAGCAACACTACATTGCTTTAGACCCATCAAAAACAGGAAGACATTGAATTCAAGGGGACCACTCCCTACCATTGTATCTTGTTACCAAACGCTTCCCTTAGCACCCTTTTCTCCAATATATTATCTGACACATGTAAGTTTCTGGCTTTTTTTGGGGGGAGGGGGAGGCTATGACAAATTATTTTTGGTTCAGCTGATAGTATTTCCCCCAAACCTAGAAAAGATAAGAAATCACTGGGAATTTACAATGATTACCATAGATTCATTCTCCCATATTAGAGGGCTCAAAGTTATAAGGAGGAATAGTATGCATTTGTCATGTTGGTGTTTTGTTAGTAATTTTCTTTTTAAGCTAAAATTAAGTGTTACTTTTCCAAGGAAATAGCCAGAATAATACTCTCTCAAATACTCTCTCAAACTTACTGGCACCCTTTGAAGTCAGACGTTATTTCTCACCACATTATACTCTTTCGTCTGCCATGATATCTTGACAGTTTTAATATCTGAAGGCAGGCCTATATGATAATCCCAGCAGTATTCTGGGGATAAGATTTTAGTGGGTTTATTGAGAAGGAAATACTTGTTTAGGTGGCTTTCATCATGCCACTCAGCTTCTATGTCATTTTTCTTGTCCTGAAGGATTCCCTTAAGGCACTCCTGGGTGATGTTGAGAACCTGAGTGGGTGTCCCTCCAAAAATGGCTGCATGGTAATAAAAGTCACCCTGGCCAAATGGAATATAAGCTGCTGACTCTTTCCGTCTCTCGTAGGTAAACTCATCAGGATCTGCCTTGTACCACCAGGCCTGTAGCTGGGCCACCGACTGGCCCAGGGTTTCCACTCCAAAAGTGTCTTGGAATACTTGGTCCACATCCATGCAGAAGAGGAAGTCAACCTCATTCTTGATGTGGGCCACAATGTGCTCCGCGATGGTCTTCATGCGCATCATGCTAATGTCCTGCCACCTCTTCTCAGACTTGATCTCAAACACTTTGAAGGAACGCAGAGGACCCAGCTCAATCAAAGGCATCCTGGAGACATCATCCACCATGATGTAAAATATAACCCTGTGGCCAACCATGAAGTACTTATTAGCAGATGTGATGAACTCCTCCAAGTAATGCTCAATATATCTGAAACAAAGAAGAGATACAATTCACTTCTGGCATTCCTTCAGGAGACCACATGATATTCTAATCATTTTGTCTATTTTACGGTTAGAAGGGGAATGTTTCCTCCCTACCCCAGATGTGGCGGGACCTCTGCTAGCGTAACACTCCTGGCTACTTTACACCATTCAGTCACTCAGTCTTTGAGGAGATAGAATGACATATCTGACTGCCAGTTTTGGAAGAGCAACTGGGCATGCGGAGCCCTGTCCCTTCCTCTCCTCTTGTTCTTGGAAGCTTGCCAGTCTGAGAGAGCATGTTTTCCCAACTGTTCTGGGCCTTGCAGCAAGCTGAGTGTTACAGGCTCTACTCCGATATCCAGAGGCCTTTAGTGTCTAACGTGTTGGTGTCTGGGTACCTAAGTCTTTCTAATTCTGTGCTGTTTAGGAGGCCAAGGGCTTGTGGATAAGCCACATTCTCCAAAACCAGCTTTCAGTGGAATAAAGGTGATAATAACCACCATTTCCCGTATCTACCCATTTGTCTTATTCATCAGTTGATTCTGACTTCGGGCAGCCAAAGAGGGTCTAGTTCTAGAGTGTGCCTAAACATGCTAGCATTGCCCCAGTGTTGCTGCTGCCAGACAGGAAGCAAGGGTGATGTGATCCTTGGGTCCTCTAGGGATGCATTAAGCTCAACTACTTGCACTCATTCTCTGCTGTGGCACTGAGAATGGATCTCTCACCATGTTACACATGGTGAGCCTCTCACCAGTCATCTAAAACCCCAAACCACTGTCCACACATACTATTATGAAATCCATCCAAAATAACCTTGGATTTAACCTTAGCTATTCAGGGGGTGAGGGGTCTTTACTTTTTCCCCCTTAAAGACTATTTGTTTTAGAGTACGTCTAAGTTTAAAGTGAAATTGAGCCAAAAGTGCTGGGAGTTCCCTCATACCCCCTGCCCCACAGACACGGCCAGCCTCTCCCACTAGCATGTACCTGCGCCAGATTGGTACATTTGTTATGACTGACAGACCCACATAAATGACATGTGCCCACCATTCCAGGGGCATATAGAAGAGTTTCACTGTCCTAAAAAAATCCTCTATTCATCCTTTCTTCACAACCACTGATCTTTTTATCGTCTCCACAGTTTGTTTTTCTTTTCGAAAATGTCAGATTGTTGGAATCGTACTGTTTTGTAGCTATTCAGAATGACTTCTTTAACCTAGTAATTTGGACTTATAATTCTCCCATGTCTTTTCATGCTTGATAGCTAATTTCTATTTTTTCTTTCTTCTTTTTTTATTTTTAATTTTTTTTGAGAGGTTTTTGCTATAGGGCACTTGCGCATGCCAGACAGAGAGAGACATAGAAACAGAAAGCGAGCAATCACCCCCCAGGGGGGATGGTCACGCCGCAATCCCTTCTCCTCCATTCTCCTCTCGGGATCTTGGGCATGCACGCACATGTACCCGGCGTGAGTTTTAAGCCACCGGGTCCGGGACACGAACCGCGGTCGACTACGTGGGAGTCCAGCGACATAGCCATTACGCTAACTGCTGGTTCCCCCGATAGCTAATTTCTTTTCAGCAGTGAACAATATAGCATTTTCTGGGACCAGCAGTTAGCGTAATGGCTATGTCGCTGAACTCCTCCTATGTAATCTACCGTGGTTTGAGCCCAGGACCCGGTGGCTTAAAACTCATGCCGGGTGCCTGTGTGTGCGTGCCCAAGATCCGAAGAGGGAAAATGGAGGAGAAGGGATTGTGGCATGCCATCCCCCTGGGGAGGGGGTCATTTCTTGCTTTCTATCTCTCTGTCTTTCTGGCGAGCGCACACGCCCTATAGCAAAGACCTCTCCCCCCACCCCCCCCAAAAAAAAAAAATATATATATAGCATTGTCTGGATGTACCATGTTATTTTTCCGTTCACCTAATGAAAGGCATCGTGTTGCTTCCAGGTACTGGCAATTGTATGTAAAACTTCTAAAAATATTTGTGTGCAGGTATGTTCATCAGTTTTCCGTTCATTTGGTTAAATACCAACGAGTGTAATCACCAGATCACATGGTAAGACATTTATGAAGCTTAGTTTTGTAAGAAAATGCCAGACTATTTTTCCAAGTGATTGTACCATGTGTTTGGATTTTGCCCATTCTAGTAGAATATGTAGTGCTATTTTAACTACTTATATGTTTATTCAAAAAAGCATTAATTTCAGAATAGCTAAAAGAGAGGCTTTTTCAATACCAAGTAATGATACGTTTGAGTAAATGGATTTTTTTTGAATTTTTAAAAAAAATTTATTTACTCATTTACTTATTTTATTTTAACCAGACACACACACACACACACACACACACACACACACACACACACACACACACACACACACACACACAGAGAGAGAGAGAGAGAGAGAGAGAGAGAAAGTAAGAAAGCAAGCCACCAGGTCCAGGACTTGAACCATGGTTGGCCATATGGGAATGTCCAGCGCCTTAACCATCACACCACCTGCTGGCCCCCAAAGTAAATGGATGTTCTGATTACCTGATTTTATCATTATGGATTCAAGTACCAGGGGAAAAATTGTGTAAAACCACAGGTTGTATTCATGTGTTGAGGTTCTGTACCCCATAAACAGGTACATGTATTATGTAGTAATTGAAGATAAACAATGAAACTGGGACTAGCAGGTGTCATGGTGGTTAAGGGGCTGAATTCCCACATGGCCGACCATGGTTCTAGTTCCAGACCCGGCAGCTTGAAAACTACTCTGGGACCATGTATGTGAGTGCCCAAAATCCCAAGAGGAAAGGCACTGTGGCGTGGGGGTGATTTCTCACTTTCCCTCTATCTTTGTCTCTCTCCAGCAAGTGCATGCACCAGCAAAAACCTTAAAAAACAAAACAAACGAGAAAACATTATACTGATGCCTTCTGTAAGCTGAAGCTATAGACACTTGTGAAGCCCTGCTATGGATAGTATAAGAAGGAAGTCAGATGGCTTACTACAACTCAGTCAAACTCGTGCGCAGTAAGTGTGAACTGAATTTAATTTGCTGATCACATTTCCTACCAATCATAATGTTTGTGAGTGATAAATGACTGGCACCTCTTTTTGCTTTTTGTTGCTGCTTAGATTCCCTTTCTTTACTATGGAAATAAAGTATGTTTTTAATGTTGGAATTTGGAAACCTGAAGTTTACTGTATTGATTCTCTAAATGGAGAGAATGTATCTGAACACTATAAAGAAGGACTTGGACGTGGTTCTATGGCTGGTGGCCAGGTAATTCTTCAGTACTATGAAACGTCAAGAAAAATCTACTGTGCTCCAAAGCTTGGGGAAAATACTGACTGGGGTCAAGGGAGGAGGAACGTCATCATGCTGTTTGACATTATTTAGAGATTAAAGCACCAGAGTTGGCTCCTTGGGTTGTTATTTGAAAGCAAACCAAACATCACACCTCCTTAAAGTCCAAATTTATTTGTTGTGGGGATTTATTGCTGCCCAGTACACAGAGTCCTCTCTTGCCTCAGAACTGAGAGTGAGCAATGCTTTTGCCAGGATGTGTGATTTACACTTTAGCTCTGCAGACTGCAGTTGGGTGACTGGAGCTGCTGGGGGACAATGGGCAATGTTCTGAGCCTGGAAACACCAGGCTCAGATCAATCTGCAGTGAGGCTAGCTTGTCCCCTTTTGTGCCAAAGGATTATGTGAACTGAGCATTTGGCTCTTGACCCATATGACACAGATTCTTCCAGTAAAAATGTCAAAACCCCGTCATCACCCTTCCATATTAGAGACGCCACATAGGCCCTGGAATCGGCACCCTCCGTGCCATTGGAGTGTGAGTAGTATTATCACCGACAGCCGCGGTGATGGCTGTTGACTGCATTCGGGAAGGTTACCCTTGGAGAACTATCTGGTCTTCACAGAGCTTTCCTTGGGGCCTACCTGGCAAAGGTCAAGCTCGAATCAACCCAAGCCTTCAATTCTCTCTGTGCAAAGCCAGGGAATTGACTTCCCACATGGCTTTTTCAGAAGAAGTAAAAATGGAAAGACCCAGAGGGAAGGAAAGAAGAGGAAAATTGAACTTTGTTTTGTTTTGAGAAGAAATATTGAAAATGTTCCAATAAAGCCAAATGGGTTGTATTTTCAAACTAATATTATAGCTACAGCTATCAAGTAAGGATGATTGGAGTTTTTCTTTATCAAATGTTACAAAAAAAGAAATGGAAGCTGAAACTAGAACCTATCCAGGAGTTAGAAGAGGAAGTTCAGACCAGCCATATTTCCAGGACCAAATCCTCCAAGAGGAGTAAGTTAAAAGTGACCTGGAGAATCGGAGAAGTGGCTAATCTTTCTCCAACACGGAAAAGCCCTGTGCTTAGGGCACGCTGTGTGGAGAACCTGCTGTAAATCCCTCTGTCCTTGGTCCTGGGCCTTGAGCGTGTAGGAGAGAGAATGATGCTCACTTGGTGTCTGACACTTAGGAAGTTTCCAGAGGAAGCCATGGAGGCCATGGAGGCCAGCTGTGGGTGTTACTGGCTCTGGGTCCTGGGGGTAGCAGACATTTATGCCTGCAATCTGAGACCCTACCTCTGAGGTGGGGACAAGTGGACTCACTCACTATTGTTTCATTCTCTGTCTTTTGGAGCCTTGTCGAAAAGGAGAGTTAAACAGTCTCAAACATTCATCTGGGCAGCTGGTGGCACAGCAGTAATGCAAAACTCTGGGAGTCTGGACCCACAGGGAAAGGTCGCAGGTTCATACCTGGGGCCTCCTTGTGAACACCAGGTGCGTGCGCTCCTGGGCCTGCGGAGGCTGGGCTTGGACTGTGGCATGCGAGCCTTGTTGGAGGTGCCTGTCTCTCTTTCTCAGTAAATAAACGTTTAAAAAAAAAAAAAACGTTTAAAAAAAAAAAAAAAAAAAAAGCTCTTGGGGGCCAGCAGGTGGTGTAGTGGTTAAGAGGCTGGATTCCCACACAGCTGACCATGGTCTCAGTCCCAGACAGACATGCAGGCTTGAAGGGGCACATGTGCATGCATGCCCAAAATCCCAGGAGGAGACTAGAGGAAAAGGGATGTGGCATGGCCACCCCCCCTCCCAGGGGTTAATTCTCACTTTCCCTGTCCCTGTCTCTGTCTCTCTTTGGCAAGCACAAGTGCCCTATTTAAAAAAAAAAAAATCTAAAAAAAAAATTCTTGGGCCAGCCTGTGTCTTGGTGGTTAAGGAATCTGGACTTGATGTAGCCTACCACAAGGTTCAAGTCCTAGACCTAGTGGCTCATGTGCAAGTAAGCCCTGAATCCTGACAGGATAGAGAAATGGAGAAGGGAATGCAAAATGACCATGCTCCATGGAGCGGGGAGTGCCTTCTCCCAAGCACACCACTGTCTAGCAGATTTAAAAATAAAAAAGTTCCTTGGGCCAGCTGGTGACATGATGATTAGGGTGGCTAGATCCTACATGGCTGACTGTGACCAGAGTCCCAGACCTGGCAGCTGGAAAAACATGCCTGATGCCACTGCATGTGTGCCCAAAATCCTGAAAGGACAGAAATGGAGGGGAAGGGATTGTGGCAGGACCATCCCCTGTAGGAGTCCTTTCTCTCTCTCTCTCTCTCTCGCACGCGCATGACCTCTGGCAAATTAAAAATCAAAACAAAACAAAAAGAACAAAATAAACCCCCAAAAAACACAACTCTCACCTGATATTTCAGACAAGTCATACATAGCCTCATGAGTCCAAGGGGTCTCCTTAAAAACATTTTGACACTGGAAAAAAAAAGTCAAGGACCCCTCGATCAGTGACACCTACTTTCCGATAGCAAAAACCGTCAGTCCCACGGTGATTTTCTGTCTGGCATAGTAATTTTCTAGGATGGCTCTGTTGTAAGTGCCTTCCCACACCACCGGCGCCTTCCATCCAGTCATGGTTACCACCTCTGGGCGTTTCCTGGTGATGAAACGTAGAACCCTGTGAGTCAGAATGGCTTTGCTGAGGTGGGACGGGGGCCGCCCAAGGAAAAAAAAGGGTCAGCTATGATGTGTGGTGAGTGTCCGTGAATCCTGACTGTAGCTTAACCCCAAGCACACGGCTGGCGGGTGCAGCCTTTGAGCAACATCCGGGTGAGGGACAGAGGTTGTGGACCAGGTGTCTCTAGACTGTCCTTACAAGCCCTTACGGGGATCTTAGCCATACACCTCATACCCCTTTCCTTTCTTCCTGCTTGCTTTTTTTCCCTCCAACTTTATCCCTTTCTCTGCTTAATCTTACCCTTTACCTAAGCTGCCAATGGCATCTTTGGTGTGACTTAGCCCTGTGGGTGCCATCTGAGCCTCAGAAGACCCTAGTCCTACATGTAGGGGATGTGGAAGACAGGAGAACTGGAGGAAGAGCTCTTCCACTCTGCCTTCTGCCAGAAAGAGATTTCTGGGTAGGAATTTGGTTATTGACCAAACAAGGCCCCAGACTAAGGAGATGCTGATGTTCTCATTCATTTTACAGTAAAGGAGACAAAGGCACCCAGAAAGCAAGGGATTCGACAGAGGCCCACCAAGGCCAAGGCTGGGACACACAACTCTAGCAAAGACCCTCTCCTGGGCCCACGTTGCCTTGTTACTAGGAATACAAAAGGGGTGAGAGGGAGGTGTGTTTCCTGCACTGGCTTGGCCAACGCAAGCCCAGGAAGTGACGTAGGAGCAATAACAGAGCCCAGACCCTTGCAGGGAGAATGCAGGAAGGCCAGAGCTGCAGCGGGGCCAGCAGGGAGAGGTCCCTGCTGGAGAGGGTGGTGGAGATCCCCGATTAGCTCAGAACCTGGCTGTTTTTATCCTCTTACCTTGGGGAAGCAGAGGCTGACACCTTGCTTACCATTTGCTTGTACTTTACAGGGGGCCCATTCCAGCTCAACCCCAGTAAGGCCAGTGGTTGGGGCAAGGTCTTGACCCTTGCTGGGTCCTTGGAAGCGGCACTTGTGTGGCCCTGGTAAGGCTGTCAGGTAAGAGGGTACTTCCCATTCCCTATACAACTGGTCATGAGGCTGGGTTGCCTCAACTCCATCAGCAAGGCTGGGGCTTTCTGCAGCAAGGCTTGCCCCTGCCGCCGCCTAAGCAGACTCCCCATCACTCCTACCCAGGTCACCACACCCAGCACACTCTAATTCTGGAGCCATCACTGTCCTCCCACCCCAGCCCTGTGCCCTGCTCCCTGCTCCCAGCCTGCATCCTAGATCTCAGACATCGCTGGGATCACTACCAGGCTGGTCTGGCACCACCGACAGGCAGAAAGGGAGGCGCTTTCAGGCTGTACTCCCGGGCGCCCTACCTCAGCTCCATGCTCAGCACACAGGTGTGTCTGCGCTGCTCTGGGTTTCCTTCAGCCATGAAAGACGCTGCCATGCCAGGCACTGTCGCCCCCACTTCCCATCTAGCCCTTCCAGTGATGTCCACTGGTCAGGTCAGAAAACCAAGGCTCAGAGGAGCTTTCCCTGCCCTAGGCCACATAGTCACTGACAGTAGCAACGACATAAACTGAGCACCTGGAGGACCAGGCACTATGTGAAAAGTCCATCTCTCTGAGGTGGCTGTTACCTTTCTCCTTATTTTACTGAGGAAACTGTGTACCAGAGAAGTTAAGTAACTTGCAGGAGGTTACACAGCTAGAAAGGAGTAGAACTGGGATCTAAACTCAGATAATCTGACTCAAGCTGTGCTCTGAGCCACTGCCCAGCATGGCTTCTGATTATTTATTAATTTTGTTTTTGCTGTAGGGCACATGTGCCCACTGGAGAGAGACAGACAGGGGAAGGACAAGAAATTACCCCCTGGGGGATAGCCATGGTGCAAACCCTTCTCCATTTTCCTCTCAAGGACATGCATGCACATGGGCCTGGCATGTTTTCAAGCCAACAGGTCTAGGACTCAAACTGAACAGTTGGCCATGTGGGGTCCAGCTGCTTTAACCACCTTGCCACAGGCTGGCCCTACATTGTGTCGTCGTCGTCTTCTTCTTTTAAAGTTATTAATTTAATTTATTGTTATTATTTTAAAATTTACTATAGCACATGTGTGCACACTAGAGAGAGAGAGGTAGGGAGAGACAGCAAGAAGGAAAGTGAGAAAGCAAGCTGCCTACATTGCTTCTTCTTTTTTAAAAAAAATTAATTTTATTATTTTTAAGTTTGCTATAGGGCACATGTGCTCACCAGAGAGAGAGAGAGAAAGAGAGAAGGAAAGTAAGAAAATAAGCTGCCAAGTCCGGGATCTGAACTATGGTTGGCCATGTGGGAGTACAACACCTTAACCACTATACCTCCTGCTGGCCGCATCTACACTGCTTCTTATATGGACATTTACTTATTCTGCTGATAAAGCTGGGGTTAAAACCCAGATTTGTTCTGATCTAAAGATAACATCATAGGAACCTAAATAAATAAATAAATAAAATAAAGATAACAACATAGGAACCATCAGTTGGCGTAATGGCTATGTCACTGGACTCCCATGTAGTTGACCACAGTTCAAGTCCTGGACCCAGTGGCTTAAAATCACGCTGGGCGTATGTGTGTGTGTGTATGCCCAAGATCCTGGGAGGAGAATGGAGGAGAAAGGATTGCAGAGTGGCCATCCCCCCGGGGGGTGATTTCTCGCTTTCTGTCTCTCTGTCTCTCTGTCTTTCTGGTGAGTATACGCACCCTATAGCAGAAACATCTCAAAGAAAAAAAAAAAAAGATAACATTATAAGGCCAGCAGGTGGCATAGTGGTTAAGGCAGCTGAATCCCTCATGGCGAACTGTGAGGTTTGGGTCTGGACTTGGCTGCTTGAAAAACATGCAGGGTACATGTGCATGCATGCCTAAAATCCTGGGAGGAAGAGAGGTTGCAGCATGGCCATCTCCCCTGGGGAATGTTTTTTCCAGTGAGTGCACACACCCAACAGCAAACTTACAAAAAAAAAAAAAGAATAACATTATTTCCACTCAACTACTTATGCATTTTCATCAGTGCAGGTTGAGAAATAATGAGCTTTTTTGGTGTTTTTAGAAGCTTACTTGTTGCTTTTAGTCTCGTAAAAATCCTAGCTTTGTTAAATGACAGATTTTTCCAACCAAAAAACCCATATACACACAATACATGTACCTCATACTTCCTATAGCTGACATTTCTAGACTTAAACTCTCATTTAACACCACCCCATTTGCTGCAGTCTTGGTTTTAACCTGTCAAGGATCTTTTGGAAGTTCTAACTCAGCCTGCTACATATGAGCTGGGTATCTGCTAAGTAGACTATATATGTATATAGTCATTGGAAAAGTTATGATGCATTTTTAATAGAAAAACATAGAAAAATACATCATGACTTTTCTGACAACCCAATAGATACACATGCCCGTGACCCAGGCTGAGTGAGGTCGGGGTGGATTGTAGTGTGAAAGACCCCACGGAGGGTGCCTGTCTCTCTCTCTCTCTTTCATGGGATAAATATTTCTAAAATCTTGGGAAGAAAATGTGAAGGCAGTGTAGGTACACTTATTTATTTCTATTTCCTGTGCACCAAAGGCAAAGCAATTTTATTCTCATTAAATCTTTAAAACCACCCTGCGAAGTGGGTGCTACCCTCACCCCTACTTTACAAATAAAGAAGCAGGGGGTAGGAAAGAAGAAAGACTCCTTTGCCAGTTAGTTTATGTGAAACTGGGGCAGGTGATCCCTAGACGCTGTTTCCCAGGTCCCTGCTGTCTTGCTAAGCGCTGAGATCAGAGCGATGGGACCAGGTTCTGTCCCTGGAGAATCTCCCAGTCCCAGCAGGTGGTCAGCCGGCTACACCCTCTCATCTGTGAGGCCTCACCAGGAAGACCAAGTGGGACACTAGTGCCACTTTGGTTACTTGGGTGGAAGGCTTCCTTTGAGCAGAAAGAAAAAGTAGCAATATTAAAAATTAACATCTAATTAAAAATTAAAATGTTGTATTTCCCAGCTGTTAAATATTCAATTCCACTGACAATTCCAACATGCCGGCCACTTTATGAAGCCAGACAAAAGCTTGAAAATGCAGGTGGAGGGAAGGAGGGGTGGAAGGGAGGGAGGGAGAGATTAAGATCTGCTTCTTGGCTGAGTCTCTACATCAAAGAGTCTTCGTCATCAAAACCCCCCAAAAAAACAAAAACAGAAGTTAGACAGGGCAGCCCACATGTGCAAAAGCTGGTCCTTTTTTTTTTTTAAAAAAAAAAGATTCATTTAATTTTATGTATTTGTTTGTTTGTTTGTTTGCTATTACTCATCAGAGAGAGAGAAAGGGAGAGAGAGAAAGCAAGCCACCAGGTCCGGGACTTGAACCACAGTCAGTCATGTGGGAGTCCAGAACCTTAGCCAGCACACCATCTCCTGGTCTCAGCAAAAGCTGGTCTTTGACCATGTCAGCTGCCAAAGATCTCCATGATCACAGAGACCGGGCTCTAAAAGGAGGGAAAGTGCCAGGAAGGAGCTACTCAAATGCCTTTCTTCCGAACAGGCACCCAATTGTGTGACGTCAGTGTGGGCAGTCCTACCCTCATGGGCTAAAAGCTTCCTGAAAAATAAAAGGGCCCCATAACTGAAGCATACACCTCCCTAGGTTATCGATAGTTTTTTAGTTTTATATATTTATTCACAGGTACATTGTGGTACCCAAGGATTGGGTAGAAGTGTTAAAATGCTATCTGTAGTCGACCATGTTTGAGTTACGGGCCTGACAGCTTAAAACTCAAGCCAGGTTCATGTGTGTGTGTGTGTGCCCAAGATCCCAAGAGGAGAAGGGATTGCGGCATGGTCATCCCCCCCCCCGCCCCTGGGGGGCACTTCTTGCTTTCTGGCTCTGTCTCTCCAGCAAGCGCGCACGCCTTATAGCAAAAATATCTCTAAATAAATAAATAAAATGCCATGAATCAAAGCCAGACAGTAGGGGCTGGCAGGTGGCATGGTGATGAAGAGTCCTGGACTCCCACGTGGCTTACTGTGGTTCAAGTCCTGGACCTGGCAGCTTCCTTTCTCCCAGCAAAAGCTGGTCTTTCTAAAAAATAATAAAAGCTAGACAGTGGTAAAAGATGACTCTGTAAGGCAATATACATGGGAAGGTTGCCAGTTCAAGTCCAGAGACCTCCCTGAGTGTGCTGGCACATGTGTGGCCCATGATCCAGGCTGGCTGAGGGCTGGGTTGGACCACAGTGTCAAGACCCAGTTGGGGGTGCTATCTCTCTCAGAATATATAAATAAATAAGCTTTTTTTTGCGGGACCAGCAGTTGGCGTAATGGCTAGGTTGCTGGACTCCCACGTAGTCGACCGCGATTTGAGTCCAGGACCCAGTGGCTTAAACTCACACTGGGCATGTGTGCGTGCGTGTCCAAGATCCTGAGAGGAGAATGGAAGAGAAGGG